AAAAGTAAATAATATATATATATATATATATATATATATATATATATATCTTCCACCCCCTTAAATTCGAGAGAAAAGCTCTAAATTATTTAAGAGATAAAGAGATAAGTAATTTATACTTAAATGTCTCTTGACATTATTACGGGAGTGAGGTAAAATTAGATGAAAAAGTCAAAGTTAATAAATAAAATTAAACAACGCAAATTGTACTTATTATATTATTCCAGGCTTAATTAAACGTCAATTTCTTTTAAAGCTTTTATTACGAGTGTTAACTTATCGTGTGACGTTTTATTTATTTTAATATCAAAAGGATCGAAACGAGGGTCTGTCTTGAAGAGTCATTATCCGTTTCTGGGTATAAGAGGGAATAAGAATCGCTTTTCAAACTCATGAAAAAAAATTGACGTTTTTCACAGTTCACGTTAATATTGATTACAAGCTCGCAAAAAGTATAGGCTTTGTGGCCGCGTGAGAAGGGCTTAGCGACCAAAATAATGGATCCAGCCCTTTCGGTGTTAACATCTCCAACTCGAAGCTCGTCCGTCGACGCGCGGATAGTTTAGCAACTCAACGTCGTTTCCTCCCCCGATACGTTGTTTTAGTTCCATCGCGCAAACCAAAGCGTAAACACGTAACTCGTTTCGCGCAAAACCCGTTTTCAGGAACATTTTCGCCGAGGGAATAAGGGCAGAAATTTTGTAACTCGCGCGAATCACAGAGCGATCGAAAGATTAAGAATCTAATTACGCGGACACGGAATCCGTGTCACTCCCTTTTAATTCGATCATTTTTTACGGCGCGCTTAAGCGCAAATCGTTTTAGCTAAACTTAATCGAGCCCTCAACCAAGCCTCAATTCAACCGAAGTTTGAATTTTTCCTGAATATTTATGAAATGTTCTTCTTTCTTTCCAGCGAGCGGAAGTATAACGTTAGGACCGCGCGTTAGGATCATGCTGGTGATCATGGGATTACTGATGCTGCGGTAAGGATCGAGGATATCACTCGCCATCCGTGCTCACCCCCTAGGCCTGTGGAAGCCACCCTCGTATAATGCGACATGATTACGTAATATAAAATTAATCCATGTTGTTTATATTTTTTATAATTGCAATTAGTGGAATTAGAGACCACGTAATAATCGTAGGCAGACGACATACTATCGAACTATGTTAGATTTTCCTCGGGCGTGCAGAGGAAGTTTAAAAGAACGATGAATCCTTTTTCTTCGAGAGGCGATAAGAAAGCAGATCATCGGAAAATTTTGCGGCGACTCGGTCATTTAATTTTCGCGTTATACGAATCACGTTTCACGTATAGTGCGTGAAAGACACGACGAATCCGTTCCCATTGTTGTTATCACTCATCGAAAGGTCACGCGTTACCATGCTGATCTGGCGTTTGAAATTTGGTCGTGAAAATTGGAAGTCGCGACTTTTTACATCGCTCGCGGCAACTCATGCGTAAAGTGCATAAATCGATTTCTTCAGGTATATACGTGTACACATACACGTATACACATACACGCGCGCGTGCACTTGGTCTGAATGACCGCTATGTGTGGCTAACGCATATCTGCCGTGCAAACCGTGCAAACCGAGGCGCAGGGGTCCACGTTTTATTGAATTTTCATTAACCGTGCTATATCTGGAATGCAAGTACTCTTTATTGAGTTTCAAGACAGTATAATATTAATAATTTAACTGTATGTATATCATAAAATTCAGATGCTCGAATTAGAGATCGGCGAACAATTTACGATTTAAAATATTTAAATCGTTATTGTCTAGCCACACGTTGAATATTTGAATGTTTATTTTATTAAACATATGTAGATATTTAAAAGATATATTTAGAAATGTCTTTTATTCGATGAGATTAATTTATTGATATATGCCGCAGAACTCTCGACTCACCTCGGACGGCAGATATTTAGTTAAGAAAACGAGGACGGCGCACACACGATGCCACGATACTTACGCGCGGCGTGTGCTTGTAAATCAATAAAATAAACACGAATCGAGAATCCAGTACACACAGCCAAGTAGCAACGATGCAACGCAAACAAAACAAATCGTCGTTTCTGTTCGCCACCATACTGTAGCCCTTAACGATCTAGTCGCTATTAATCGTGCGTTAACGAGATAATATATCCTAGGAATAACTGTACGACGTGTGTGACTGTAGCGTGCGTTTACCAAAGATTTTTCGAACTTTTCACGCTAAGCATTCCTAATTGTTAACTAATCACTGTGGCACGGTGTGTAGAGAAGATTTCGTAAATAAAACTTGCCACGCTCTTTATCTATGGTAGTTATAAGGACACACACTCTCTTGTATATATGTATATAAATATATATATTATACAGGGTGTCCCAAAACTCCCGCATTTGGAGTACACTACGTGATTCTTTATGCTAAAAGAAACAACTTTATCCTTTAACAAAATTGCGTGCGACGAATAATTTTTACAGTGGATCAGATTAAATGTGACGAATGAGCGCGCGTATGTGCGTAGCGATCAGAGCTGGCGCGCGTTCCTCAGGCGCGGCCTGGTACTTAATCTTTGACGACTTCACGTACTGTATTGTTTAAAATATACTTAGAACTTGATCAACTTAGCCGTTATTGAGATTCGATAATTTCGGATGCTCGCATCTCACCGATTCGCGTAAAGTCACACGTAGTAGTTCTCGGTTGACTTGACACCCGAGACACTGCTGTGTCTCCTGATAATAAACAAGTTAACAAAATAAGTATTGTTTTCATCCTTTATGTAACGATTTAATAAAAAAATTAGTCTGATTTCGTTATTT